ACAGACCTCTGGTCTCATCTAATAGGGAATGTTCTACGGTCCTATAGAGTGTAATGACAGCAAATTAATAGAATAACCAGAAGATTCCGTGAGGATGGCAGGGCTCTCATAGGAGGTGTCAGTCCGGGCAGAAAGTCAGTTATTTTATTGCAGTAAGCAAATCAGGCTGGATTCTCTCTGCGGTGCAATAACAGCAGATTGGGGAACATGCAAAGCAGCATCAATACATAAACTACTTTTAATACACAAAGCTGACTTTAGATAAATGCAGAACAGAGAAGCAAAGGCACGATATTCTCTGAAAGCGTGGCCTTTTAATGCTGTTTTGGAGACTTATTTACATACAAATAAAATGTCAGCTCGTCCCATAACTGTCCTGATAAATAGGAGCTTTTTAGACTTTTGCACAAGGTGCTCCTTCTGTACCTTATTAAATTACGGGATCTTGGCCTTTTGCCAAGTGCTAGGGTGATGCTCTCTCTACTGAAATACATACAGGAGATACGGACTTGGACATACAGAGAAACCAGGTTCAGTCACTAGCCAACACTTCTGCCTGCATGTCATCTTGAACACCTTGAATCTCTCTGTAGATAATTTTACTTATCCATAAAATGGCAGTAATTGTAATTTTCCTGTTTCACGAGCTTTGTTGAGGTTTAATAGGTTGTCATGCTTTTAGGTACTTTATTGGAAGCCAGGGCAAGGCAAATCTTGCGTTGTTGGGCTCCCCCATCCTGGATGGATGGCAGTGGTGGGCAGCTTGCTCTCTGCAGCAGGCCAGTAAGAAAAACAGAGCAGCAAACTGCTGTACTCAGGCACCCTTAAGTAAAAGCAGTTTTAGAATTCTTCATTTTGGTTGCAAGTTAGCATAATGTTCCACCCCATGTCATCTCTTTAGACGCATCACCTTTCGGCTTCAGTTTCTTCTGAAATTATCAGCATGATTACCTCAGTAGTGAGCTTAAAATTAAATAAGTGCCTGGAACTGGGGTAAAACAGTCAATTTTGAAATGCCACTCCTAAACTCTCTGAAATGACCAAGTGCCTGTTTTATACCCATAGAAAAGGTTAGATTTATTACAGTGGCTAGATGACTACTGATGCCATGCTCTGAAGCATAAGGTAATGGAAAAGATAGTTTTGAATTAATTTGATGTGAATTAATAAGAGATTTATCTGACTAGAATTGTTTGAAGGTGACGGCACTTTGTAGCTGAACAGGATTTAAGATGCCCAAAAGTGCACCTGTAAAGATTTGAGAATGATCGATGTTGGGAAAGCAAATGTAAGTGGAAAGGAGCAAGCTTGAACAGACCACAACTTTTTTCACTTGTCTCTTCGTTGTAGACTTTATGGGGAAAAAAATTGCAAACAACTCTTGGCAAACTGGTGATCAGGGACTAAACTGGATAGTATGAAAATGCAGAAGAAAGGAGGTGAAAAACAACAGTGTTTTGCTATAATACTGCTCTACTAGTATGGCGTACAAGGCATGGCCTTCTCCTTGTGTTTTCTAGATTGATGAAGTTATCATAAGTTCAGTGGAGCATGCATAGCATGGAGTATCAAGCAGATACTTTTTGTCCAAATACAATGGACTGATCCTGCCAAATTTTACTGATACAAGGAGGCATGTTCTACCCTAGTAATTTCAGGCAGGAAAGAGGGGACATGCAGTTTTAGGGCTTGTAGAAAAACATGTATGACTTAAAAACTCATTTGGGATTACTTCATCAGTTGCTTAGAGCTGTGACATACTGTGTCTTGTATGGTGTATTTGAAAACACTGGTGCCAGAGGGGGAGGAGGTGGGCTTGTTGAAGAGGCAGTTGCTTGTCATTAAGCTTATTCTGCCCTCCCATGGTTTACAGCCTGACTCTTGGAGTTCCTTATGCAGAAGGGGTTGTTCTTCCGTTCCCTGTGCAGCAGAGAAAAGTTAGGACCATGTGTTGGTTGTTTGCTGGCAGACTTTAAGAACCACAAGCAAAACTGAGTGAGAAGCATCGTGTGTGATTGCCTCTCTCTCTGTGTCCCAGCTGGTGATGGTGGGGATGTGAAGCTGTACATGTGCCTCTGCTGTCATTTCACTGTGCAAGTGTCCATAAGGGAGGGTAGAAAGGTAGAAGCTTTAGTCAGTCCTGTACAACTGTGTCTGAGTCCGAGATAGTTTACGTCTCATGTAATTTAATTTTGAGTGAAGGCAGCAATTTCACCTGGAGTTTCCAGCATATTTACAGATTTATTTTTTATTTTTTTAATGAAAATGCTTAAATTAGAAAACATGCAGGTCTTTGAACTGTGGGCTGTACTAATGAGCTTGTTAACTTTCTGGTTGTCCTCGGCACAGGTCTGGGCCAGCCTGGCGGGACGGGCTGTGGCAGAGGGCTGGGTACTGGGTGGCTCCTCAGGGACGGAGTCTGCCACTGAGACACTTTCCCAGAAATTCAGTCTCAAGACAGGAGCTTTCTGGCTTCAGGGCTCGTGTGCCTTACAGCTGCTCAATTGTTTTATGGAGAGTGGGAAGAAGGCTCCAGATTGGTTAGAACTTCATGTGCTTGATCGAAGCCGACACTTTGAACACTTAAGGGTTTTTTATATAAAGCACAGCAGACAGTCTTTGTAACCTATTTATGTGTAATAAGCTGTGTTTTGTTTTGAGCCTTGTTTTTTGGTTTGGTTTTTTTTTTTTCTTTTTTTTTTGTGTGTGTGTGTGTGTGAAAGAAGAAGGAAAAAAAAGGAGAGAGAAATTAAAACCACAGCAGTATTTTCCCATGCAGCTATAGCGAGTATCCTGCGATCTCACATGATCGGTTGTCCTGCTGGGGTGGAGTGTGGGAAGGTGTCAAAATATGTCTCTCAATTTTATTTTATTTTTCTTAAAAGGGAAAGCCAGATGAATGCCAAAAGCCCTGCTCTCTTCTATAGCCCTGCAGTAACAAACTACATGAGTGTATGTTATTAAGATGATAAGATTAAATTTCTAGCTACTAACATGCTATCACAACAGCAAAGGGGGAAAAAAATCTTGAAAAAATTATGAAAATTAGTCTGACGGTCTCCTTTTAATAATAAGATCACTCCCAACCCCAACAGACAGTGTAGGCTGGAATTCCACAGGGCTTTTTTGTGGTCCTAATGATTTTAATAATACTTTGTGCTATGTAGCACCTTTCATTAGAGGATCACAAAGTGCTTTACAGTCACTAATTAATTAAGCCTCACAACACTCCTGTGAGATAGGTAAGTATTAGACATATATTAAGTTGAGACACTGAGAGTTAATGATTTTTTGCTGCATTATTCTGGCAAAATGATTGATGTTCAAGCACTGTATGTGCATTATATGTCTGTGTGTGGGTGTGTAATATATATGGGTGTAAAAGTATTAATTTTACTATCCCTTAACAAAGAGGTCCTACTTGAGCCTGTTGAATATAAATGTGTATTTTCATTTAACTTTTTGTTGCTGCAGCATATTGACTGATAGTATCATAGTCTTCATAGACCCTTGACTCAGTTTGCTCTTTGTCTGCTTGTGCATCTACTTGTACAAAGATTAGTCAGTGGCATCTCATAAAATTCAGACATCTTTCTAGGTGTATTATTCTGTTAAAAAGAGCATATGACTAAGATCTGACCTAAACCTGCAGCACAAGCACCAGGCAACAACTATTCTGTTGCAATAGGCTTTGATGACAAGCCATCATATTCAGTAAAAGTAATGAGCAACAGCAATGACCTGTTGCTGGAGCTGACATTTGACAGGTAATTAGCCATTATCGTCACCACCCATAAGAAACTATTGATTACCAGAATTTTATTTTTCTTTATGCTTTATTTTTTTTTAAAGAAGTACAGTAGTCACTACAGTAATTCATTATCCTGAATTACAAACTGATTTTAGCAGAAGTTTCTACTTTTGTCTCTAGGGATAAACTGATGTGCGTGATTTATGAACAGAAAAGTCTGTATGCTACAGAAGCATGAATCATGTAGTGTAGCCCTGGCTGTTTTTGAGGGAAAGTATGTATAGCTATTAGTATTATATCTACTTTAAAATATCTGAGAATGGTCACATCAGCTAAAAACCCCATGCGGTTTAAAGGTAATTTCAGTGAAATGAAAATAAGATATAAACCCCTGGTTTACAGAGCCAAAGACAAGTTTTGCAACCTGGGCCTTATCCAGGATTCCCTCAGCTCAAGAAGTCTTCTAATTCACATCAGGCTTAGTATTCTTTTATTTTGTGAAGATCACAATTTCCAGTGATGAAAGTAGCTCAGTTCCAATGACTGTTCATCACTTGGATTCTTTGCTGACACCCAACAAATGTGCTTAGTATTGTGATGGCATTTTTGAGATGTGGGAAGTTGCCTGCTAACAACGAAAGTAACACCTCCAAATTTGTTTCAAGTGGGACACTAGGCAGCCAGCAGATGGTAACTTCCAATTACTGATGGCAGACCCTGGATGTGAAGCCGTTGTTTGTGTCCCTTTATCTATCCCATTAGGCCAGCCCCATATGATGCACAATACTTGTTAATAGATGTGAATTTTTAAGGCATTTATTTCCTACAACTCATTTTCAGCACTTACTTTAAACTTGTCTTGTACTCTTTATTTGGTGAACATTACCTCTGGGATATTTTTTGTCGCTCTGAGCGTGTGCATGTGTGTGCAAGAGCGCATGTGTCTGAGAAGGCAGCTATGGGACTTCTCATGCTTGAGGGAAATAGAGAACAGCAGCCAATATTTGTATTGTGACCAGTAATAGATGCATGTGAATGTTCAATAGCTATAATAATGTTTTTAAGTAAAAAACATATTTTGAATGCATAATTTAGGAAGGAAAACCTTTTTTTGTTTTGTTTTGCAGATATACAGATCAGCTCTCAAAATGTCTTCTGTGTCTTCCGTGCATCTTCTAAGACAATTGCATTAGCCCGCCTGCTAGTTGACTAATAGAATTAATAATTGTAAAAAGCACTCTAAAGCCACATGCCTTATGAAGTCAATGCTGGGTATGATTTTACAAGTATGTGATCTATTTTTTCAAGTGAAATTGTTAACTGAAAACGTTCTTGGCACACAATAAAACATTGTGCAATCTGTTATTTGTCTTAGAGATAATAATTTCAGAGTGGCTATATTCTTTCTGTATCTAACTTATGACTTGTTAGGGGATGGTTTTTTTCGATTTAGGAGTATTGCAAATGTAGCTTTATTTACATAATATGTCTCTGAAAAAATGATAGTGGTGGAATTGCAGCATCAAAAAAACCCCTGTGTCTTTTCTTACTGTCCCCTTGAGTGGATATCAAGGAAAAAAATGACAGATGATTTTTCAAAAGCTAAAAAAAATGTGGGAAAATGCTTTTAAATACAACTTAAGGAAGTTTTTATATTTAAATCAGTGTTGCCTTCTTTCTTTCTCCAAGTGTAGACTACATCATGACAAAGCTCCATTAGGCAGATAATGTTTTTCTTTTCTCCCTTGCATTAACAAACAGACTCACAAATATATTGGGAAACTGAACCAAAGTATCTAGATCTACTGTCCAGTTAGCCGGTATGCAGTTCAGATTTTTCTTTTCTTTATAGGGATTTTTTCTGTCCTTTTCTTTGACTCTCTTCTGTCAGTTGCCATGAAGATAGCAAATCTCTAAGCTTTCCTTATCTGCCAAAAATATCTGTAACAAAAACATTTTAAAACATTGCATTTACTCTTGTTTAATTTTGACTGAGGTAACAGCCATGATGTTTACTTTCTTGATTTCTGATTTTTCTTCACTGTGAAGTCAGGACTCTTTTCTCTGTCCTCTGCCATGAACTGCATTTAAACAGAAGTTATTTTAAAAGTGGTTCGGGATGTGTAACCAGGAGAAAAATACAGGCTTAGCTGAACACCTACCAGAGATGCTCACCAATATTTTTAGTGTGTGTTAACAAAAAGTATTCATGGAGTCCCACAGAGAAGCAGTAATGCTAAAAAGGCTGAGGACTGTCTTTATACCTTGAGTTATATATGTGTGCATGTTGTTTTAGTAGACTGAGTCTGTATTGTAATAGTTGTCTTACCACGGCAGAAAATCTTTCTTCTCTCTTAGTTGTGAGTGGCTTCATGGTTCAGAAGTTACTGGGAAAAAAAAAATAAAAATTGAGTGCGTACATATCCTGGTAGGTGTGGTTGACATTAAAAAGAGAGGACACTTGGTTCCCAAGCATGTGTGTCTTCTACAATAAGGAATCACAGTAGGCATTTAAGAAACCTATTAAGACCACACGGAGTGTCAAAATTTCTGTAACACAAGCTGGCATTCTGTGTGAAAGCTGTCTTGCTGTAGCCCATGCTGCCTGTGGATCAGCTCAACCACAAAGACAACAGAGCCAGCCCAAGACACAAGTTGAACACTTCCCTTAAGAAGTTGTCTGTTTTTATCGACAGAGCATACAGTGCCCTTTCATGTGGAGCAGATGTAAATAAGAGGATGTACAGACGCCTGTTCTTTTATTTTTAACCTCTGTCCCCAGCCGTACTTCTCAAAGTACTGTTTTGAGAAGGTCATCCGTGGCTTTCAAAAGTCTGGATACAACACCATTTGGAGTGCATCAGTGCGGCTCCCAGAGTCGCCAGGTGGTCCTCCCTTCGCCGAGCAATCTATGTCCCCAGTGCCTCTGTAGGGCCTGGCTGTGCCTGGCCTGGGAATGGGGGCTCAGACTTGAATCTGCAGCTCACATCTCCTGTGTGGTACTGCAGGCTGCTGCCACCAGACCACACACAATTTGGCAAAGAGAAACACCCATCGTTGTATACAGCATTGGCAAAGATTAAGAGCATAGAAAAAGTTGTAGCACATCTGTCTTCTACACACAGCTAGCATGTGAACACAAATGGATCAAACCAGCTGATGATGAATATCAAATCCAGAACCACACAGTGGAGACAGCAGAGTTTCATAGATGTATTTTCTCTAAGTAGGCTGGGGAATGTGAAGATGCATAGTGGTTGAGGAATTTGACTTAGTACCTGCATAGTCTGGCTACTTGTCCTTCCATAATCTCCCCTCTTCAGCAAGCAGCTAACTCACTGATGGCAGACTTCTCCTTTCTCTCTGATCCTTATTGCTGTCATGTCTCAGCTCTCTGAAACGGATCCTAGAAATGTGCTTGTAGATTTAGCAGTAGTGGCTATGTCTGCAAGGAGGACTTAGCAGAGGAAGGTTTGGCTGATTAGATCCATGTGGATTCCAGGTGTTTTCAGGGCAGATCCTGACTCAGCCACACAGCAATGTCAAATGTCTGGATCCAGGCCTGTAAAATTTTATTGACAACGGGTTTCCTAATAAAGTTAGTTTCTCTTTGTTTGGCAAATAGAACTAATTACATGAATAATGGACTGTGGGGCCAGACTCTAGAATATCCGTGTAATCCTGTTTGAAGTTTATGGGCAGTAGGAGGGGGAAGCTTTTGCTACAGAGAAACTGATACCTGCTTAGGAAAAATACTTTCTCTGAAACCTCATGTTACTTACTTTCCTAAATCTGTTTCTTTCCTAGTTTAAGTTCTTCTGATTAAGTCTTTTAGGTGTATTTTTGCAAAGCTACATTATATGTAGTTGTACAGTGTAGGAACATTAGACTGCAAAAGTTTATTTTTCCCCTTAGTTTTTTTTAATTATTTTAAAAGAAGTGTTCATTTAAAATTATTTCTGCCAGACCATTATCTTCCAAAAATATAATGAAACCTGTAATTCACTGACTCTCATGGTAGTGTTTTTGTAGGTTTTAAAGTTCTTTTTTTAGTTTAGTTCAGTCTCAGTGTGATCATTCTTTGAAATGTAAAATTCCCGTTTTCTGCATAGTCTAAAAACCTGTTTCAGAAAACTTTTCTGAGAAGTTTATGTACTCAATGTATTCATATAGTTCAGAATGCTTAAAAAAGAGTCAGGTTTGTAAGCTATTATGTAACTTGAATAATTCTATAGGGTTTTTTCTTTTTTCTTTCTTTTTTTTTTTTTTTCCTTTTTCTGTGGTAGATATGGTCCGGAAAAAGAACCCCCCTCTAAGAAACGTTGCTAGTGAAGGTGAGGTACAGACCCTTGAGTCTACAGGTACTGAAAGTGAAGAGTCTGGAAGAAAAAAGGAATTTTCTGCAGAGCAGATGCAAGAAAACACTGACCAGGGTGATGCGGCAGAGTTAAATAACAAGGAGGAACTTTGCATGCATGTCCAAGAGCCATCTTCCAGCGTTAAAAAGGACTTGAAAAGCTCAGTGCTGAGTGAAAAGGCTGGCTTCAATTATGAAAGCCACAATAAGGGAGGAAATGTTCTATCCTTCCCTCATGATGAGGTGACAGACAGAAATATGCTGGCTTTCTCATCTCCAGCTGTTGGGGGAATCTGTGAGCCCTTGAAGTCTCCTCAAAAATCAGATGCAGATGACACCCAAGATGTGGTCTGTACCCCGTCAGGAGATGCAGCAGAGACAAATGAGGAGCATCAGATGTCGCCAAAAGCTTCAGATGAAACAGTGCAAGTGCAAAGTGGTCAAACTGATGGCCAAGGCTCAAGCCCAGTCCCCATGGCCTCAAAAAACCCACAAGTGCCTTCAGATGGGGGTTTAAGGCTGAACAAATCGAAAGCAGATTTGTTGGTAAATGATAACCCAGATACAGCGCCTCTGTCTCCAGAGCTTCAGGACTTCAAATGCAACATCTGTGGGTATGGTTACTACGGGAACGACCCCACAGATCTCATCAAACACTTCCGCAAGTACCACCTAGGACTGCACAACCGCACCAGGCAGGATGCTGAGCTTGACACTAAAATTTTGGCTCTTCACAACATGGTGCAATTCAGCCACTCCAAAGACTTCCAGAAAGTCAACCGCACTGTGCTTTCAGGGGTGCTGCAGGACATCAATTCCCAGAGGCCTGTCTTATTAAATGGGACTTACGATGTGCAGGTTTGTATTTTCCTAGCCCCCCTGCTTCTGCTAACTGCCTTCTCAGCTGCAAAACCAGTTGTTTGCAAAACCTCTCCCAACTCTGTGATTATTGTATCTCATATAACCTGCTTAAGCCTTAAGAACCATTTTGGTCTATTTTAGCCAGGCTTTCTGCAGGTCTGCTGACCATTTTGTACAGTAGAGGAGTATTTGTCTTTTTGACCAGTGACATTTCTGTGCACAATTTAGTTGTTGGTGGTAATCAATAGCAAAAGATCTTATTCAGCAAACAGGCAAACCACTGAATTGGTAATCATCTCTGAAGGATTTGCTGTCACGGAAAGAAAAGAGCAAATAATAATGAAAAATAACAACCAGACAGACAAAAGACAGCAGCTGGAAATTAAAAATGTAATCCTAAATTATCAGCTGCTGGGAGTCAAGATTTGGCTTATTGATTCTTTATTAAGATAATATAAATGGCAAGGCTTGGCAGCTCTGAAGTTGTCTAGTGCCAGAAAAACAGGATACACAATGAGTATTTAAAACATTTCAAAAAGTAACAGTAATCCATGCTGTCCTTCATGTTAGTGAGCCTGTAAGAAAAGGATTATTGCCTGAGTCATTTGCTCATCTAGTTGAAGCAGGGAAAAAAACCTGCAAATACTCCTGTAAAAAAAAAACCAAACCAAAAAAATCTTATTTTTACCATGAAAGAGTGGACTCAAAAGATTTTTCATGGAGGCTTTGTTAGTTTCTTACCAGCTAATATTTAATTAGTTGAAAAAAAATTGGTGCTGCTTTAAAAATATCCTCGGAGTGAGCTGAGAGATGCATTAGGATACCTTGTATTCTATACGATACAAAAATTCAGATTCTGAGAAAAAAAACCCCAAAGTAACCGAACGTGCATACAATATGAGCTCAAATGTCCATCCTTTTTCAAGTGACTGTTTGCATGCATGATGTCTGACCTCGTAGTAATCACCGGACAAAACTCCATTATATGTTAAAATAGAAAGGAAAAAAGTTGAAAATATTTAGTAATGCTTGCAGAAACTGTAGTTATAGGAAAGAAATTTTGCAAGGCAGGTTAAGATGGCTAACATCTAACTTGAAGTAAAAAGCCAAAACCAGAAATCAAGTCAGGAACTTGGAGCTTTCTAAATGATTTAAACTTTTCCTCTTTTTTCAGAAACTCTGCAACTTCTTTGTGGAGCAGCAAATCAAACTAAGGTCGTTACTATGTGTAAAAGCTGCAATCTT